GGAACATTCAATGTATCGTTGTGCCATTCTAGATTTCTAGAGAAGAAGTTATTCATCGGATTTTAGTAAAACCAACACCATTTGAAAGGGCAATCAATTTTGTACAATTTAACCGAGCAACATTTTAAAATTGTGTTTCTAAAGTCATTGAAAGACTACAAAAACGTACAGTTTGTCACGCACAAAAAATCACCTATGGTAAAATTTTGTTTTTGAACACGTTCATTTGATGTAAAAAGAACTTTTCAAAGATGAAATTGTGTTCAAAAATGTTTACTTTTTTATTTATTTTGTAAATTGCGGCAAAAATATACAGACAGATGCGCCAGAACTCGCGCCCCAGAGAAAACTTTTAAATAAGATAACATATCAGGAACATGGAAAAAATGTTTAAAAAATTCTCTGTCAAAAAATTTTGACATTTATTTTTTGACAATTAACACTTTTTTATGTCCATTTAATGATACTGATGATCTTGTATATGTTTTTTTATAATTATTTAGTAAAGGTACAAAAATTTTGACAATAAAAGCCACAAATAACATTAAACAGAGATAAAATTTAAGCTACAGCTTCCTTGTGTTCTCTTTTAATAGCTTCTTGCAGCAAAAAACTTGGAAAATTATTTTTTCAATAGAAATAAATAGAGTCAAAGTAGATAGAATTTTTTAAATATTTTCTCCATGTTTCTGGTATCTTACCTTACATAGCATTTTTTTTATACATATGTACTTCAAACGTTGAAATGTTTTATAAAATTGAAAATGAATAGTATGTACTTTCTTTCCAAGGATAAAGAGTTATCGATAATAGTTTCGAAGTTATTGGATGATATTAGCTTAGCATCTAATAATGAAAATCAACAAAAATTTTGTCAAAAATCGCCAAAAAATAAAATATCAAATTTGATGCTAATACACTTCTAGGAGTCTAAGAGATTAAAAAAAGTGCATAAAATGTTGTAGAAATACAAAAAATATAAAAAAAAATATTGAACATGACTGGATAACCTAGAGCAGAGACACTTGTCAGGAACGTGGTGGCGCAAAATCGTAAAATCCTGCTTCCGGCAGTAAGTCTGAAGTCAGCAATTTTAATGTAAAATAAAAATAAAGAAATACAAATAAACTAAAACATTGGTTGTAAAAATCAAAAATTGTAAAATAAATTTTTTAAGTGTATTATTTAGTTTTTCTAAAAAAACAAAATTATGTATGAAAAATGGCATGTTGTTACATTTAAGCTGTGTTCAGGATTTCTGAAGCATTTTTTTTAATAACACGACTGTTAACTGTTGTAATCACTAATAATAATGATTTTTCGCAAAGAAGTTATAAATAATAGAGTCAAAAATTTGTGACATTTTTCTGCTAAAAGTCAAGAAATTAATCATTGTACAACTAATTTAGTTATTCTAAGGCTTTGTTTTCGCTACATAATAATTTAGAAAATGTTCCATATTTGGCAGAGATATGAAATAAAAGTAAAAATTCGCCGTAAATTAGCGGTACGTGAGAGATTTCCCGATGAGAAATAAGTAAGAAAGCGCAGTTAATTGTAGAGAGATAGAAAGTGGAGTGGACGTGTTAAAAGGCTCGCGACTGGAGACCTAACCAAAACAAATAGGCACTTAGCTCAGCGACCACAAACAGCTTTACGATATATGGGCAGTCGTGTCTTCCGACGCCCCGAACTCTCCCAATCTCGCAAGCTGACAGTAAAAACCAAACAAGATATATATTTCAAGGAGGTCACATTATAGATTCCATCCGAGTTTTTGAATTCAATTTTCGGAACCGTAATCTGCACTTGTTATTGGTCAGCGGCATTTCGAATTCAATTCTATATCTCAGGAGATAGATATCGCGCTGGCCACAGGGGTGTATGGAAATGACAGCCGACTTAGATATTCTGAAATCACAACCGATTGCCACACCTGTGCCCATCTTGCGCACCTACATCACCCCCAATATTAACACTTCAGATATCAAACCCGATGCTCCTTTGCCGGACAATACACAACTTTTCACGAAATTGAATTTCGAATTGCAATGGCTTCAACTCTACCAACAAGTTTTCTTTAATTCTGGCTTTTTGAAGAAATAATTGTTTGTTTTTATGATTGGAAGCACCCCTCGTCAAAGTCATAAAAGACAAAAGCGAGTAGAGTTGAAGAATGAAATTTGTATATTTTATTTATTACTAAGAGGGTTCGGGTGAATGCTTATACCTCCATCACTATTAAATCAAATAAAACTTTATAGTCCAACCACATGTATATTGGGACATTTATGTAAAGTATAGGAAAGGTGTGTTCCCAGTTGCGATCTAAAGGATTTTAGACCTTGTTGGCGAGAGCAGAAAGCAGAAAACAGATTAGAACCAATAGACCATAATAATATCGCATCGGTGCATGTTTGCTCAAGATGCACCCCTAAACTCTTCCAAATCGTTCAAGTACCTACCGAATTTTAATGAAACACTATAATAGTTTCATTAATCAAAGGAAAAATATAATAAATTTGCCATATAAAAACCGGAACGAAGCCGTAAAAGTTTAGTATAAATAAAATGTTTCCATGATTTTTGACAATAAATCCGGTAAAGTGCTCTGATATAAAGACATTCAACATCAGGACCGAACCACCTTAGGTAGGTATGTAAGGGTGGCGGCTGTTCGGTCTATAAATCCTCCCCATACACTGGAATTCAAGTGCTTTAACCCCACATATGCACCCAAATTACAAGTGCTGCATCAAATTTTATTTTTCGTTTTATTCCTTTTCTGATACATTGAAATTAAGAAAATACATAGAGTTTCTGCATACACTGTTTAATTTTTGAAGTGGCTCGAAATATTGATATTAAATTGGAGACACTGAAAAATATAGAGATAGAGGATGTTTAAATTGACAAGCTTCATCTTCTGTCACTACTGTATTTAATGTTGCCCACTTAATTTTAAAGCCACTCGACAGTTTAACCAGAAATTTAATTATACGCATGGCAAATTTACCAGCATTTGAAACAATTTTATACAATATGTTGATTTTTGAAGACAGTAGCAGTTAGAGAAAAAAATAATGCTCTAGTGGTATCATAAATGAACAAATTATAATTATGTGTTATTACTTCTTAATTTAAAATTTGATTTTCAAATATTCGGTGATTTTAGGGTATGTGTGTGATATTTCAACAGATGATAGCAGAGCTCAAAGGAAGTCAAAATAATTCAATTCCCCTTATCCTAATGTTAATAGTATGTGAGATATAAAAGATGAAACCACCACATTGGTGTCGAAAAAAATTTTTTAAATTACAATATAAAATAACGAAAAAGTATTCCATAATATTAATTCATAACTAAATTTATTGTTCAATTATTACGTTTTATTTTATCTAGTCATACGTATCTACTGTGTTCTACGTATTTTTTATAAAGTTTTAATCTAAGTAGGCACGTGTTTAAAAAAAAAATCCAACAAAATAATTTATACTTCACATCCTTCTTGTTTCGTTGTAGTCCTAGACCATTGCATCGTTTAGTTCTTTCTTGAACAGGTCGCAAAAATTCAACGGGTGATTGTTGAATAAAATGCGAAAACTGGAATAAAAGTAAGTAGTTGAAAACAATTAGAGTTGACACAAAAATCAAAAACTTTTTTATTTAATATACTTTATTTTTTTATGTTAGGTACGTACAAAATTATCTACAGTTTACAAGTTGCAAAAAATCAAGGGGTGATCGTTGAATAAAATATTTTATACAAAATGTAGGAGCAAAAGTGAGTAGTTGAAAACAATAGCAAAATTTAAAAAAAAAGTTTTGTGACTTGCTACATCCAATCCCTAGCAACTAAGGTTGTCATAGGAAAATTGACACAAGTTTACAATGTTAACAATTTTTAAGAACTAAATTATTTATAATTTACAATCTTAACAACTTATAAGATTGGGCTCGAATATTTTCCTTGTTTCGTTGTGGTCCTACACCATTGCATCGTTGTTTGGCCTTTTTTTCAACAGGCCTCAAAAATTCAACGGGTGGTTGTTGGATCACCAGTTGGAGGTCTACAACGAACCGTTTTTGTACCAATGGTTCCAAACATTTTCGTTGGACCTTTCCGCTCAATCGTCATCAACAAACCCGGATTCAAAATTTTTCCTTCCTGGAAATTCTCATTCAGTGGCCTATTTTTTGGTATTTAATATTTTGCAATGATGAATCTGACAGAGACAGTCAGTGACAATAGTTGAATTTGTCCGCGAAAGTACTTAATTTCTATAATTTCAAAGTATGTTTTAATTGCCAAGATGTGTGAATAAATGTATGTAGATGAGATGGCGAGTTTACCGGTATGAATATCGATGTTGTGTTAAAAAATGTCGACGGAGGTAATATTTCAGGCAAATTGCGATGAATGCCTACTTATTCGCAGTATCAGAAGCAATAAATTGATGTGCGGAGTTTTACTTTCTGAAAATGAAGATATGTGGACACATTTCGTGCAGCCATATATGCACTTGTCCTGTAGTATTGGTTTCAATCTTCTTATAAATTAAAAGTGATTGCTGACTCCATCCGCGTGATAGATTTATTGTTAATATGATTAATCTAAAAAAGATTTTTTTCCAAAGTTTTATTATTTTTATTTTATCAATAAAATAATTTATACTTTGCTTCCTTCTTGTTTCGTTCTGGTCCTACATCATTGTATCGTTTGGTTTTCTTTTTAACAGATCGTAAAAATTCAAATTGTTAAATAAAATGTGAAAACATAGGAATAAAAGTGAGTAGGTAGTTGAAAACAATAGCAAGATAAAAAAAAAGTTTTGCAACTTGCWACATTCAATAGTAATTGGAGTTGTTCTAGAGGAATTGACACAGAAAACAAAAACTTTTTTTTTTTCAAAATATTTTATTTTTTTATGTTAAGTTTTTACAAAATTATCTACAGTTGACAATGACAACAATTTTTTAAGACTAAATTATTTAAAATTTACAATCTTAACAACTTATAAGGTTGGGCTCGAATATTTTTCTTGTTTCGTTGTGGTCCTTCACCATTGCATCGTTGTTTGGTTTTCTCTTCAACAGGTCTCAAAAATTCAACGGGTGGTTTTTGGATCACAGTTGGAGGTCTGCAACGAACCGTTTTTGTACCATTGGTTCCAAACATTTTTGTTGGTCCTTTCCGCTCAATCGTCATCAACAAACCCGGATTCAAAATCTCTTGTCGTTGTCTTTGACGTTGGGCATCCAATTCTTCCTGAACTGTTCTTCGCAAAATTGGATCTCCTTGACTGATTTCACGCCATAGTCCATCCGTTCGAACAACGTTCAAAAGAGATGAAGGGTCCAAAAATCTGAAACAAACAAAGTATTAGTAAAATAAACACAATGAAAATAAATTTAATTTACCGAAAAATGGTAGACCACATCTCCACGGGCAGACGGAGCTTCGGCAGGGCGAAATTCGCAGCAACAAAAAAAGGAAACACTTGGTACATCTTGGAAAGCTTGGAATAAACTRAATTTGGGTAGCAGTGGCCGCTGTTTAAATACAGTGCGTCCCYACCCCTTTTAGAAAGCGGAAGAATTGTAGTGGTGCGGGTGGAGGTTGGGGGTGATAGACGGTGGGAATGGGGAGTGGGAGCAAAAATTTTTAGTGGTTTAAGCTTTGTTCATTCAACTGTTTTTTCGAGATCACAAAATATTAATACTTATAAGAAGAAGAAAACAAACTGAACTTTTTGTCACTTGAAAAAAAATGTAAACCAAACATCAACGTCAACATTGATGACAATTTCAAATTATTGACTTTTCTCTTGTCAAAAATATGACACTTTCCATGGTTAATTTCATTGTCTTGTGGAGACCATTCCATTTTTTCCTCCCTGGAAACTCTTATTCAGTGGTCTATTTTTTGGTATTTAACATCTTGCAATGATGAATCTGACAGAGACAGTCAGAGATAATAGTTGACAGTAGTAAAAAATAAGGTTAACCATCCTAATGCTTGCTGTACAACTATAGGTTACTCAAGTAACATTGACGATCAAAGTAATTTGACCGCGAAAGTACTTAATTTCCATAATTTTCAAAGTATGTTTTAATTCTCAAGATATGTGAATAAATGTGTGTAGATGAGATGCCGAGTTTACCGGTATGAATATCGATGTTGTGTTAAAAAATGTCATCGGAGGTAATATTTCAGGCAAATTGCAATGAATGCCTACTTATTCGCAGTATCAGAAGCAATAAATTGATGTGCGGAGTTTTATTTTATGAAAATGAAGATATGTGGACACATTTCGTGCAGCCATATATGCACTTGTCCCGTAGTGTTGGTTTTAATCTTCTTGCTAATTAAAAGTAATTGCTGACTCCATCCGCATGATAGATTTATTGTTAATATGATTCATCTAAAAAACGATTCTTTTCCCAAAGTTTTATTATTTTTATTTTAYCAATAAAATAATTTATACTTTATATCCTTCTTGTTTCGTTCTAGTCCTACATCATTGTATCGTTTGGTTTTCTTTTTAACAGATCGTAAAAATTCAAATTGTTAAATAAAATGTGAAAACATAGGAGTAAAAGTGAGTAGGTAGTTGAAAACAATAGCTAGATTTAAAAAAAAAAAGTTTTGCAACTTTTATTGAAGAAGAATTGTGATGGTGCGGTGGGGGTGATAGACGATGGGAGTGGGGAGTGGGGAGAAATTTTCAGCTTTGTTCATTCAACTGTTTTTTCGAGATTATAAAATATTAATACTTATAAGAAAACGAAAACAAACTGAACTTATTTTGTCACTTGAAAAAAAAATGTAAACCAAACATTAACGTCAACATTGATGACAATTTCAAATTATTGACTTTTCTCTTGTCAAAAATATGACACTTTCTATCGTTAATTTCATTGCCTTGTGGAAACCCTTCCAATTTTTCCTTCCTGGAAATTCTCATTCAGTGGTCTATTTTTTGGTATTTAATATTTTGCAATGATGAATCTGACAGAGACAGTCAGTGACAATAGTTGAATTTGTCCGCGAAAGTACTTAATTTCCATAATTTCAAAGTATGTTTTAATTGTCAAGATGTGTGAATAAATGTGTGTAGATGAGATGGCGAGTTTACCGGTATGAATATCGATGTTGTGTTGAAAAATGTCGTCAGGGGTGATATTTCAGAGAAATTGCGATGAATGTCTACTTATCCGCAGTATCAGAAGCAATAAATTGATGTGCGGACTTTTATTTTATGAAAATACAGATATGTGGACACATTTCGTGCAGCCATATATTAGAGGCGTTTTTTGAGTTATAATAGGCGCGTCAGCTGGTCCTTCACCACAAGGGACAGCTCTTAGAAAGAAGGGAAAATCGTAAAAGGGACGCGGACGGTGCGAATGTACTCCATCATAACCGCGTCCAATTTATTAAATAATTTGAGAGTGGTGCAAAAATGGAGACATAGTTTCGCCCTCGTGAAGAATCCGCGCCCTTAAACCGCAGTATCACGTTCGAAAATTGTAAAACATAAAACGGCGATTCTGTTAAGATATGCGGATGGGGATCGTCGCGTGGGGGCTGAACGCGTGCCGGTCGCGTGTTGGATAATGCCAAATCGCAGTGTAATGCGAATCTAATGACTAGTGCATGTAAAGCACATGTGTTGACACGTATCGCACAATTGGCCGCACTGCTAAACGCAAACACTCAAACCCTCCCACTAGCCTTCCTGCTTCCTGCTGCACGTTGGGCCGCGATAAAGCGGAAACTAAGAATAGGAAACATGTTGTCAACATGCTGTTACGATTACCCTTTAGCTACTGCTTTGTCTTTATTAACTCTTGCTTTCCCATCTCCGATCTCACTATACAACGAACAGACACCGCTGCAACAACACCGCAATCAAAACGGTTCCAACAAATTTATTTCGATTTTCACTTCATTGAAACTACTTAAAGACATTTTTTACATGCATTATTATGTTTCACTCGAAAAATATAAAATCCTTTTGTCTAAAATTGTTATCTCATAAATGTGACACACATGTACTTTCATTAATGTAGAAGCTAATATTTTATTATTGTACATGTGACTGTACGTCACTACTGCAGTGTCACAAAATTAAATCTCTCTTTGTCAAATTTTTAAGTTTGTAACGTACTTAAAATCATTAAGAAGTATTTTTTAAAAGACAAACAGAAAAGTTGTGAAGTCTAAACAATAACGAGTGGTTCAAAAAAAGAGGTTAGAGTAATAGGTATAGTTATAACTATAACAAAGTAAGTATAATATAATCTGTTGCATTTTTCTCAGTTCTAAGCAGATGTTGCAGTCTTCATTAGCAAACAATATTCATTTTTCTAACAATGTTAGTTTTTTTTTATTTTGCGTGAAATTGTTAGATTTTGTTTGCCTGGTAAATTGGCAAAGTAATTTAAAAAGTTGCCATATGTAAGATGCATGAAGTTTGTTTTTATCACTCATTAAGAGATATCTAATTAATTTTATTTTATACTCAATGTTAAAGAGAGCTTTTATCACCTAATTTCAATAGTTAAAGCAGTCTTTTACCGTCTAGTGAAATAAATTAATTTTTATCTTCTGTTCACATTCAAGAAATTCTGGTAGGTGAGTACAAAATAAAACTATTATACACGACGATAAAGATTGTTTATCTACTCGTGAAAAGGTCCATTTGTGACTTCGTCACTGGTAAACTCAACTTTTTACTCGTAGATAAACAATTTCTTTATCGTCTTTACAATAAATAACTATTATTAGTTTTCTCACAGTTCAGCTCAATTTTGTAAATTTTTATTTATTTAGAGCAATTTTAAAAATGATATAATAAGATCAGTTTTGCTGTGCTTTTATTATTGGTAACTGAGATTTTCTCAAAACTTCAAGCAAATGTTTGAAAAGTCCAATAACTAAAAATTGAGATATATATTTAAATCACAAAGTCGTATAGTAACATACAGGATGTGTCAGAGAAAAATTTCAAGTAAGATAAGATACCAGAAACATAAAAAAATGTCTAGAAAATTCTATCTGTCAAAAAATTTTGACGTTTGACATTTATTTATGTCTATTTTAATGATATTGATGTTCTTGTATATGTTTATTTATTAGATTATGAATAGAAAGTAATTGTGTTTCAAATAAAATGTATTATTTCTCAGATATTCTTTAAAAATTTGTAGAAGACGACTGAAAATTGATTTTTATAACAATTTTAACGAAAACTTGGACTTTTTATGTTGCTGAAACAAGAAGCTGTATCCTGAATTGTAACTATGTTTAACGTTATTTGTGGCTTTTTTGAATGTTCTTGGTATCTTTTCCGCATTTTTCTGTAGAGGGCGCGTTATATAAAACAGCCTGTATAGTAGTAGATTATTGTCATTTGAATATACCTAAGTTGATACGTTAAATTAATGACTCACTCTGAATAAATTCCAGAGATTATTGCTACAAATTTTTAGATATGTTTTTTATATATTTAAATATTAACTAAGAGGCAATATTTTGATTTAAATGAAAGAGGGTTGATGGGGTGACTTAATGAAAGAGCAAAAATAAATTTAATTCTTTTTATTCAAACAAGTGTACATTTTTATAGATTTTGCAAAAAATACATTATTTTTAAAAATCAAAAATTCTCTGCCCTCCCTTGATTTTTGTCCGATTCGAGTTTGTTACGATGGCGGACACTAGAGGTTTCCTCGGAAGTAGCTTCCTCCAATTGTCTTTGTTCATCAACAGCATTTTGAACTTTGAGAAAATCGTCAAAAAGACGCATGTAATCAATAGTTCTGTTGTAAACTTCCTCGTAGAGAAATTTCTGGTCATAGTATCTTCTAAAAGCGTCAACCAGGCAAGCTTGTCTCAGTTCTTCGTTGTTTTTACAAGCTTCGTAGATCTTAGAATCTTTAACAGCGCGATTGAGGAGCTCAGCAGGGCCTAGCTCACTGAAACAAAATCAAAAAATTAGTAAAAGATTTTTCACACTTTACGTACTTACTGTAAAAGCTCTAAGAGACGATCAGTGAGGTTTTTCAACTCCCTTTCGTTATCATCTAAACCTCTGGAATAAAAGGAACCCATTTTACTTGCTTGGAGGTGCACGAACAATAAGCAAATGAAAAAATGAAACTCACACTTTAATTGATAAAGAAGCAATGAAGAGTATTTAATCTAAACAAAATGGCAACGATTATGTAATATTCCAAGTAAACTCGTAATAAGCAATTGGTTTGTAATCAAGAATGAGATATTTACATACCTACAAATGATTAACCTTATATTTTTAAACATTGAAATTGACAAAAGAATTTGATTACAACTTAAGTTATTTTTAAATTATGTGACACTGTATTCGGTCTACAATTTTAGCCTAGAATAAAAAAATTTGTGATCTAAACTCAACCATTTTCAGAATTTATCAAATCAAAAATTCAATTTTTTTCTCAAATTCGACCAACGTTTTATGAACTTTTTCAAATTTCTAGGACCTAAGAGTGTAAAATGCCATTTAAAAAACAAAATTAATGCATTTTTTCGGCAAATATAAAAAAACATTTACCTATAATTGAAAACTCAGAGTCAATCAATTACAGTCACGTTTTAATTCGACTTTTTCAAATAACTAATATAGCTTGCACATCAGACAAAATGCCCGAACGATTTTATGGTTGGGCAAAGGTGAATTACAGATTTGATTTCTGTTAATTAAACAAAATATTTTTAACTTTTTTCATACCGATTTAAAAAGAGCGCTAAAATACAGGTGTTTCGAAACTCGCGCCACAGAGAAAAATTCAAAGTAAGATAAGGTACCAGGAACATAGAAAAAATGTTTAAAAAATTCTATCTGTTAAAAAATTTTGACATTTATTGTCTATTTTGACATGTCTATTTAATGATACTGATGATCTTGAATATGTTTTTTTTTATGGCAATAAAGGCCCCAAATTCATTCTCATGAATCAGTCTTTTGTTGCCGGTAAATTACCAAATGATTGGAAAACAGCACTAGTTAGACCAATTTATAAAAAAAGGAGATAAATTTGATGCAGAGAACTATCGTGCTGTTAGTTTAACCAGTTTAGTTGTTAAAATAATGGAATAAATCGTTTATGGTGAATTTTGTAAGAACAAATTACACTTGTTCTTAATCTTTTTTTCCGCACCACAATAAGATTATACAGCGATATTTATTTAAATTACACTAATTTTTCGTGTTACATAGGGTTATTCATAAATAAGGCTCGAATTATATGCAAAATGCATATTTGTGATTATTATGAGGTATATCAACAAAATTATAAGTTTTCTATGCATATCTGATGTTTTTTGATTAATATAGGCCAATTAAAAAAATGCATATTTTGGCAACTTCGTGCAAATTTTAGGAAATATTGCATATTTGTGCATATTTTTCTCAAATCACAAATTTCTGATTAAACATTTCAGTTCAAGTTAAAAATTAGACAGTTTAAGAAAAAAGATCCGATTAGAAATATGTTAAAGAGAAAAATTGTTTAAACTTTTGAGATTACCATATTATTAATATTTTTTTCTTAAATAAAACACTTTTTTAATTAATGTTTTACAAAGATATGTTCATGCATTTTATAAATGTACAAAAATATTTGATAAAAATGTTACAATTTATGTTAAAAAATTATAAACTTTATCTGTTGTCAAAACTTTCTTCCACCGGCCAAGGGGTGGTACGTTTAAACCATTAATTAAAATAAAAAATATTTTGGCATCGCTTTTTTACAACCTTTAAACATTCATCAATTTATTTAAAAAAAAAACGAATAGTTTATTAAAAAACAAATCTTTAATACTTGTAAGTCAAACATTTTTTAACAAAAAGTGTTAGGTTTACAAAAAAAATTTGCACAACAACAATTCTTGTAACAAGCTCGTTGTCTATAAAAAAATTGTGGTAGGTTTCATTCATCAATTTATTTAAAAAAAAAACGAATAGTTTATTAAAAAATATTCTTTAATACTTGTAAGTCAAACATTTTTTTAACAAAAAGTGTTAGGTTTACAAAAAAAAAATTGCACAGCAACAATTCTTGTAACAAGCTCGTTGTCTATAAAAGAATTGTGGTAGGTTTCCAATAAAAAAATTGTTAGTATGTTTATCACGTAAGTTAAACAATTAATTTATATTCAATTTTTTTTTGGAATAGCAATTTTATAGCCATTATACACCTATAATTTTTTTGACAAAAAAATTGATAGTTTCATTCCATCCAAATCCAATCCAAATCAACTGTAATAAAAAATAAGTATAATGGTAAATAATAAGTACTGGACAAAAACTCGAATCAGATGATAATTAGTGCTAAAATTTTATTATTTTCCCCATAAATTGCAAAAATTCATGTTTCTTCTTAATTCAAAGGCCTTCAACGCGTTTATCTAAAATTTTTACTCCCCTTATCGGCGTTTTTACAATATGTGATTATCAGAGTCGAGTCAGATTTCGACCATTTCGTTAGTGTTAGTCTTTTAATTCGTACTAGTTTTGTCAATTTTATTATTTTAACTGTTTGTGTTGTGTTTTAATTCGTTACATGGATCGAGGTATGTAACAAATTTATAAATCTTTTTGTATTTTTTTTTATTTAGGTGCAGAATATTTCGATTTTCTAAAAAGCGTGCAAGGAGTTACAAAAGCTCCTGAAAACGTAATTAAATATCACTGCAAAAAACTACGTTTGCCTCGATTCAAAGACCTTATTGATTGAGATGTTTTAGGCAATTCAGCAGCCCCCTTGAGCAAATTTTCCTTATTAAAATCATGAGTATCACTGTACAAGGGACACAAATCGAAACGATCGCCTCCATCTTCATTAAAGTGTTTATAACCTGTTACTGGTTCTTCACATAAGTAACACATGGAAGCCCCACAAGAACAAGTCATTTTATTACAACCCTCTTCTTTGAAAAATTTGACGCCACATTTATAACATTTCCTGGAATTTTTAACAACGTAAGTGAATAATTCCTTGTTTTACCTCAACAAAGCCTCAGTTATTTTATTCTCAACAGAAGTTCGCGCCTTGACGTCAGCATCCTTGTCGATTTCTTCGCACCTTAAAGGGGCATGCGATGGCTTCTTGCACATCCTGCAGGACTTTTTCATGCACTCAGGATTCGAACACGTGAAAATGGTGTAGCCCTCAGCAGGAATCGTGGCGAAATCGCAAAATGGACACATTTCCAACTCCTCAATTCCTGCAGCTTCGAGGGCTTTCTTTTGGGCGATTTTCGAGAACAATTTCGGACTCAAAACGGCCTAAAATTCGTTTTATTCAAACACAACGACTTATCACCACCAACTTGTAATGTTTGAAGACTAAATGAGGATTCGCAACTGGCGAGACATGAAAAAGACAGTTTTCCTTCCCCAAAGGCCACTTCGACACTTTTCACAATACAAGATTTACAAAATTTGCAATTGTTTTCACACGTGTGGATGTCACGTGGGAGAACTTCCTCGTCGTAGCAACAATTACATGTTTGCATTAAACTGCGATTTTTCGCTTCTTCACGTTCCAAATTTTCGCGTTTTTTCATTTCGGTGAGATAATGGGTGATTTCTTTTTAATTGATCCTGCAGGACTCCTTCATGCACTCGGGATTCAAACAAGTGAAAATGTTGTAGCCTTCAGCAGGAATTGTGGCGAAATCGCAAAATGGACACATTTCTAACTCTTCAATTCCTGCAGCTTATTTGATCTCCTCGAGGGTGGATCATCTAGTCGTAAGTGATTTTTTTTTAATTGAAAATTTTTAATTAGTTTTATTACCAGCTGGGGAGACAACATGCTCATTACCACCATAATCATCGGCGCCATTAATTATAAATATTTTTTACCAGTTGAATACATTTATTTTACTACGATTATGGTTTTATTTCTTCTCCTTTTTCATTACTTTAGTGAGAAAAATCGGTGAAAGGACGTGACGTTTAATTTTTAACAAAATTTTGGTCTATTTTCGATACCCAGAGCGGTCATTTACCAATAACTCAGGATTTATTGTTTTTTTTTTTTGTTTTTTATGTTTTTATCGATATGTGGGATATGAGGATAAATAAAAAATAAAACATTTAACTCGTATTGTCAATATTTATTTTTTAACTATTTCCATTAAATAATACAGAGTGTCCCACATTAGACTTTCATATCTAATTTCCCTGTTATTTGCCAACGGATTTTTATGAAATTTAAATTGTAGGAAACTTAAAAGGTGGTTAATAAAATTACCCCAAGATAAAAAATATAATTTTAATACATATTATCTCAATGTAAAATTAAGCGAAACTACTATTATACAGGGTGTTTTGTTTTTATTGTTACAAATTTAAACAGGTGATAGAATATTCAATTCAATTAATAAAAGTTTCCTATGAACATGTATCGAATTTTTTTAATGGATTTTTTTAAATATTTCAGAAACCATTAAAGATAAAATTACAAAATTTGATACAATTGATAACCTTTATACACCCAAACGAATTCAAAGATAAAATGTCAAAATTTTTACTCAGGAGCGTCTTAAACTGGGGGGGTTTAGGGTAATAGTGGAAAAACTCCATTAAAAAACGCATCTCTTTCAGGGGCTGTAGCTCGCTTACATAACATTTTTTGATACATGTTTATAGGAAACTTTTGTTTTACAATTGAATATTCTATTAGTTGTTTAAATTTGTAACAATAAAAACGGAACAGCCTGTATTGTTAAGTACTAAAAAATAGATCTCCACACAAAAAATTAATAAAATCACTAGTCTTAATCAGTGGAAATACGTCGATTATGTTGTTAAAATTGTGACTTAGTTTTTGAGAGAATTTTGTCAAAGTTATAACCGTAAAACAATGTTGCTGAAACAAGAACCTGTATCCTGAATTGTAACTATGTTTAACGTTATTTGTGGCTTTTTTCAATGTTTCTGGTATTGTATCTTACTTGGCATTTTTCTCTGGGGGGCGAAACAGCCTGTATAGTAGTGGATTATTGTCAGGTGAATAAAAGTTGAAACCTTTTACATACGTCAAAATAATGACTCACTCTGTATAAATACCAGAGATTACCGCTACAAATTTTTAGATAATTCTTTATTTATTTTTTAAATATTAACTGAGAGACAATATTTTGATTTAAATGCAGCAGGGTTGATGGGGTGACTTAGTGAAAGAGCAAAAATCTAAAAAAAATTATTTTTTTTATTCAAACAAGTGTACATTTTTTATAGATTTTGCAAAAAAATACATTAATTTTAAAAATCAAAAATTCATTGCCCTCCCTTAATTTTTGTCCGATTCAAGTTTGTTACGACGGCGGACACTGGAGGTTTCCTTGGAACGAGCTTCCTCCAATTGTCTTTGCTCATCAACAGCATTTTGAACTTTGAGAAAATCGTCGAAAAGACGCATGTAGTCAACAGTTCTGTTGTAAACTTCCTCGTAGAGAAATTTCTGTTCATAGTATCTTCTAAGAGCATCAACCAGGCAAGCTTGTCTCAGTTCTTCGTTGTTTTTACAAGCTTCGTAGATCTTGGAATCTTTAACAGCACGATTGAGGAGCTCAGCAGGGCCTAGCTCACTGAAAAAAAATTAAAAAATTAGCAAAAGATTTTTCACAATTTACGTACTTACTGTAAAAGCTTTAAGAGACGATTAGTGATGTTTTTCAACTCCCTCTCGTTATCTTCTAAACGTCTGGAATAAAAGGAACCCATTTTGCTTGCTTGGATGTGCACGAACAATAAGCAAATGAAAAAATGAAACTTACACTTTAATTGATAAAGAAGCAATGAAGAGTATTTAATCTAAACAAAATGGCAACGATTATGTAGTATTACTAGTATTCCAAGAAAATTCGTAATAAGCAATTGGTTTTTAATCAAGAATGAAATATTTACATACCTAAAAATGATTGGCCTTATTTTTTTAATATATAAAAATTGACAAAAGGTATTCTACAGGTAATTCTTAAATAGACCGACAAAATTTTATTACAACTTCCCAAATATAAATGGAGACAAACTGTACCCTTTTTACGTTTATATCTTTTAGGGGCAAAACCCCCTTAACCCGCCACTTACGGCGTTTATGAATTGTTGCAATGATCAAGTACATTTTCATCAAATACCACTACTTGTGCTAATACTATTTACGAATACATCAGTGGCGTACGCTTTACCTCAAAAATAACTTTAATAAATTTTATTTGGAGAACGGTTAAACACAGAATTTTTTAAATATTTTTTCCAGCATGTTTTCATTTGATACTACCAAGGATAAAATTTTGTCGGTCTATTTAAGAATCACCCTGCCTTCGCAATTCGCAATTACAATTTAAGTTATTTTTAAATTATGTGACACCGTGTTCGGTATACGATTTTTGTGATCTAAAGGTGATCAACTATTTTCAGAATTTTTCAGATTTACACCATCAAAAATTCAATTTTTTTTTTCTTAAACTCGACCCAACAATGTTTTCTGAACTTTTTCGAGTTTCTAAGACCTCTGGCAGTGTAAAACGTCATTTGAAAAAAATGTTAATGCATTTTTTTCGGAAAATGTTAAAAAAACATTTGCTTGTAATTGAAATCTCAGAGTCGATCAATTACAGTTGCGGTCAGAGAAACGTTGTAATTCGACTTTTTCAAATAACTAAATAAATGGCTTGCCCAGACAAAATGCCCAAACGATTTTAATAGCAAAGATGAATTGCAGATTTGATTTCTGTTAATTAAACAAAATATTTTTAACTTTTTTCATACCGATTTAAAAAGAGGTGTTTCGGAACTCGCGCCACAGAGAAAAATTCAAAGTAAGATAAGGTACCAGGAACATGGAAAAAATGTTTAAAAAATTTTATCTGTCAAAAAAAAGTCTATATAGTGTTACTGATGATCTTGTATATGCCTTTTCATAATTATTTATTAAAGGTACAAAAATTTTGGCAATAAAAACCACAAATAACTTAAACAGAGTTACAATTTAGGATACAGCTTTCTTCTTTGCTTTTCTAATAGCCTATAGCAAAAAAACTTGGAAAATTATTTTTCCAACAAAAATAAGTAGTCAAAGTGCACAATTTAAACTCTCATAACTTAGAAATTTTTATAGATAATTTTTTCCATGATCCTGGTATCTTACCTTACATGAGATTTTTCTCTAAGGCACAAGTTCTGGCGCACCCTGTATTTATAAAAACGCAAACTTAAAACTGTGACATAGTTCAAATGAGACCAAAATAAGAAAGTCTAAATAAGAAAGTCAAGAAACCACTAGAAAAATGTTAAAAACACTATGCCATCAAAATTAAATAAACATCTAAATGCGTAAAAATGTAACAAAATATATTTAGGTAACTTTAATGTAAACCGTTATAATTTGCGATATTTTTTTTCTTTAAAAATTTAAAAGAAAAATAAAAGAGTGTATTAAAAGTACCGCAAACGTAAAAATAATAAAACAGTCTAAAGACGTAAAATCGGGTCGTGTTGCAATTTTTTCAATAATATATAATATAAAAAATATTAAATGTAAGAAATAAATAAAAAATGTAACAAAATGTTAGTAAACGTAAAGTTAATAAAAGTAAAACGTAAGATGTTTCAAATAGGATTGAAAAGTAAGATCAAAAAACTTAAAAAAAGCAAAAAAAACCAAGGCAAAAATATGTAAGTAATCTAAACAAATGGTAAGTGTGTAATCATAAAAACATTAGTTAAAAAACAATCAAAAACGCAATCACGTAAAGTAAGATTGTAACAAAATTTAAGAAGTAAGCGTAAACCGCTAAAATCTAAGAGATAACTTGTTCTTTTATTTTATGAATTCTGAATTTTAAAAAAAGTTATTTTTTTATACAATATTATATACAATATTGAGGGCTGTTTTGATAAATGATATATTTTTGATCGACCGAAATATGACGGCTAGTCGGCTATACTAATTACGGAAATGAATGTTTCCTATACACAAGCGCAGCGAGAGATTAATAGTTATTTTACAAGACTACAATACACAATTTTTTGTTATTGTTTAAAGCAATTGGTAAAAAACGCAAGTTTTTTTTTAAATTTTTATATTAAAAAGTATGTACGTACATGCGAATGACGATGAAAAAAAAACTTAAGAACGATCTTTAAATTATTATAAATTTCAATTCAACTTTCTGGTCTATTAGTTAGTATCTACACCAATAAAATTGTGCAAAAATACGAATTCTCCCTGCAAGGAAAATTAATAAAATACACCTTTCTGATGAATTCTAATTAATTTTATAAAATGATCTTAACTTTATCTATAAAATACTGAAACTGCACTTCGCTCCATAGATAGGTAATAGTAATAGGCATTATAAAATAGAAATATAATCAAAATAAAATTAACCTAAAGACCTAAATCTACCTAAAACTCGTTGAAATAAATAATATATTAAACTTGATTTGTCCGTGTTTTTGCCATACTATAGCTATAATTTTTCGAAATAAATAACTTTTTATCAATTATTTTATCATATTTAAAATTTTTATTTTTTTACAGACCTTTTAGTTATTATTTCAAATAACTCTGAAGCTAAATCATTTCGCGAATTTTTCTTTCAAACCCACGATATGTATACTTAAAAATTTTCTCTAAAATAAAGTTTAAATTTTATTTAACAGTATTTTATTTCACAAAAATATGTGCATTGGGAATATCTATATCTCCTTATTTAATATTAATTAACAAGTATAGAATAATTTTCTTGAAATTAAATGTTAACTGAAAGTTTAACACTATATTTTTATCTGAAAGGTTTTGACACAAATGGTTCAAAGATTTTAGTTTCATAAAATATTTCTATAAAGAGATTAAAAAATTCGTTTAAGTGTATTTTTGAAAAAAATAAATACGATTTTTTACATTTTTTAACGCTTTAAATTTTTTTTATTATAGTATTGGCAAATAAAAAATAATGAAAGGGATTATTTTGATGAATGTAGAGTTAGGATAGGAATGTGTGGTGTTTGAATGTGATGAGTTTGACTTAATTGAATATCTGAAAGTCTTTTGAGAAATTGAGAAATTCGTTCGGATTTGAATGGGGTTTGTTAAAATCGTGACTGCTATTTAAGATAGCTGTGGCTGGGTTTCGATTTCGTTTTCAATCCCATCACTGGCGTAATTTTAGTAACAAGGCAAGTAATCCATCGCCTCCATCGGGCTCATCTGAATGATATAATCCGGAGTGGTGTAGAGTTTTTCCGCATTGAATCCCCCGGAACCTTCGGTCTAGACAAGGACGGTGCGGAAATATGGAAATGGTGGAAATCTTGAAACGACAAGCACATGTGTCGACACTATTAAATTAAATTTCTTTTCCTCTGCGAAAAGAATGGTTCAAATTTCTCAAATTCGAATTATCTACTTTACATTCATTTTAAATTTAGAGTGCGCGTAGAAAACTTTGAACGTTTTTAATATTTAATTTTGTTTGATTTACGATTGTAGTCGTGTTCTGATTCGGATGTGCGGAACATGACGCTTTTCTGACTTAAGGGACCAGACAAACGGTCATGTGGCGGCAAGCGCTAAGTCGATGCTAATGCGAAAACGATTCTTCAAAGCTTGCCATGAATTCGCTTCAACAAAATTACTTTTTCATTTTATCTAGCGGTTGCGCCGATATACTGGCCGTGTGTTACGACTCACAAATTCCAGAACTGACATCCTAACATCATTCCCAAACTCCACAACTCCACACCACATCAACATCAAACTGATATTTGTCCAAAAATTATACATTTTTATCGTTTAGAGACAGTCTTCAATCTGTACATGAATCCAGTCAGGTGTTCAATTTGAACCCAACTGAGCTTATGCAAGCAACAGGGTAAGCCATATTTCCCCGACTTCGACAAGAAAATCGAGTTTCAACTCTATAACTCAACTTTCGTTATCATGTATGAAATAGGTGAAATTTTTTTCTGCTGAAGGTTCCCGGATAATTGTCTGATGAACGAATCGAGCAATAAATCGGGCCATAAAAGCTGCTAAAGTGTTCAGCAGTTTCATTAGTGACAATGAGCACATTTGGAAGCGCTAAAGGAACACTCTTCGTAATAATAATGAGAGGTGGCAATAAATTACAGTTATAATATAGTTATTAAATTTCGTAAAATCTCATTCACATTGTTAAAGTGTCTTTACCTGCTACTGCTTTGGCGGCATATGTTAAAGTATACCGTACGACGGAAAACCCACAGCAACCTTCCTAAATACAATTTAATGATGATTTAACTCGCTTGAACAAAGCCATACTTAAACTTCACCACCACCAAATCGGAAAATCACAATCATATCAAAAGTTATAAATTTTATATTCTTCCTATTCATTGCAGTAATGACGCGATACCTGTTCTATTATTATCCAACTTCAATAACAACTTTTACATCATTAAAAAAGAGCTTTCAGCATTCAAATTTAGTCAACCAGACTTAATCACAAACATAATTAATTTAAATTAATGCCAGTTATATTCACATTTGCTACAAATTATTTGGCGTCAAAAAATTAACAAGTAGTGAATTCAAGTTACTGTAAAGTGTTTTAATCAAATTTATATTAATTTTTTTGAAAAAGTATTATTGTGTTATCAACAGCAGCATCTGTTAGACAATAGCTACACTTTTAAATAACCTTAAATTTGATGTGTGCTGCTATCTACTTGATGATAGTTATACTTATTTACAATGTAAGTAAAACGTACTACAGGAATCTATATTTTTTTGTGTTTATAAGTTAAAATTAACTCCTTGACTTTTGAAAAAAAAAAAAAACAAATTAGTAAAGTAAAAATTTATTTTGATATAAATGATATAATTAAAATACATCTCAAACACAATAAAGCAGTTTTCTTCATTATATAAAAACGACAGGATCCTTTAACTGTACCATAGTTTCTCTCACTTTTTTCAAATTTTCTAATAAGACGTTACCAGTGAAAGGTATCATAGTGACTTTTTGAATGTCTCCATTAATCACTAATTCTAAAGAAACACAGTTTGTTGTGTTATCAACTTCTGCTGTAACATTATCTAGTTGATTCACTACAAAAAAAACTGTTAATAAAACATAAATTTGTCTGTTTTTACCTCTCATTGACTGTTTTTTGAAATAACTTGTTAGTTCTTCACAGTGATCATCGACAACGCGTTTAACTGAAGTACTGTGTTCTCTAGGAAGGCCTAATTGTTGTAACTCGCTATGTAGAGCACTGCTATTACAATTAAAACGTACAGCTGATGTTATAATAAATGATAAACAAGCTATACAAGCTTTCAAATCAATGTCTACATCTAAAAGAAACAAACTTCATAAGATTCATTCAATTAACATATTCTTACCTAATTTTGAATCAGAAAAAAGTTGTTCCGCTTTATTTATCTAAAACAAAAAACAAATTGATAAAAAAAAGTTACTCTAGCCTGTTTGCTTACATCTACTGGTGGTTTTATAATCCCTTGGACTACAATTTGGGCTAAAAGTTTTAATTTGATTGATGATAATCGTGATAGAGTGTATATCTCAGCTAAAATCCAATCTGGACAATCAGCTTCGCCGCAAAAGCGAAATTTCTGAAAAATAGTCAATGCAAGTCAGTTCATTCCAGTTTTTTATTACCATTTTTGTAAATAAATTAAATTTTGATTAAAAACATAACCTACAAATTACAACTTGTCAAAATGGGTTTAATGCGCAGGCGAAAACATAGATGCTGAGAATATTCTTTAGCGAGAATTCTTCAAGCGTTTTATTTATTTTGTGGTGAATTGTCTCTCGCGTTAATTTTCTTTATTCTCTTTCAACCTCTGTTTCTTATTATTTTGTTATTTTTTATTATTTAAGTAAACTGGTGTAAGAAAAAGTCCTAAATTTTTTGTAATACTAATGTTTTGTGTGATTATTGATGAGCAATATAGCCATAAATAAAAAAGCATTTTTGTTGGAAACATGTGTTTATTTCAGTGAACATTACAGTTTTAAATCATCAAGATATGTAATAACGGCGTTTGAAAATACAATTATTGAATGTGGGAATAATTGACACATTTGGCCGACGTTTGGAGATAAGCTATGGCGTTTTTGTAGTTAAAATTTCTTGAGTGTGGACTATTTATTAAAAACGCACAATTACATAATTGGTAGGATTTATTTTCGTTACCACTCAATTGAGTTTTAAAAACTTATTACGTAACGATGTAAAATTGCAACAATTTGGTCAGGGATAACAACATTGGTACTGATACACTTCTGTTGGAAACATGCATCGTAGAATATATCACATAATAGCTCAGCGTTTATTATAATAATTATAAAGCGCGGGTTATAATATACAGGGCATTTTTAAAAAAATATTGGTCTTTTATGCAACATTATTGGCGCTTTTTCAGTAAAAAATAGCTATCTAGCAAAAAAAGATTCAAGTTTGGTTGTGTTATTTTAGAGCATACCCTGTAGATGCGGAAAAATATTATTTGTTGCACCAATAATATTCCACACAAACATTTATATTTAATTATAAAAACTAATTCAAATTCAAACATTTAACAACTTTTAGGTAGAATTTCAAGTATATAAACGTTTTAATCACGGTGTCTAAGGCCAACACAATTTTTTACAAATCTTATATTACGCCTTAATTATATTGAAGCGAAAATAACTGTAGGATTGGAATTACTCTAGTTCTACCAATCACAAATCGTGCAATTTCAAGAATCATGCAATAGGAAGACAAAATTAAAATTTAAACAAAAACCCTGGAATACCTTATTATTTTTTTCAAAATACTAAGTGTAGTAAATTGGTCAAAAAGCTATATATCAAGAAATCTTCCTATCTAACGCGGATAAGCTTTTGGTACGGATAATAATTTCAAACGAGCGATTTTATCAATCCAACAATCATTAAAATCAGCGATTCTGGCAGAATTGAGCATTTTCCCTGCGAATTAAGCTTCAATCTTTGTCGGTACTCTTCGAGCAGCTTCACAGCTTTGTCTCCTGGTGGATTCAAACATTCGAATTCGCAACAACGTTCGCCCACACGAAACTCCTTGCAAAACTGAAAAAAAGCACACTGTTACAAACTACTTCAATTAAAACATTAGGTTTAAAAATATCGGTTTGTGCACACTATATAAAATATCCAGATGGTAGGCTAGAAGTTTCAGCGTGAGCCACTTAAAAATTTATTATCCTCAAGAGAGACGCCCCGAAATTTCTTAACACAACGTTTATAAGTGCCAGAAAAATGTTGATTTAAGGTTTGACTTTACCCGTTTAACTTACCTTAAAAAAAGCAAAACATAAATTTAGAGTGTATTTGCAATATTATAAAAAAAACTTTCAGCTTATTGAAAAATATCTGGAGCAATCAAATCTGACAGTTTTCTGTTCACTACAATTGGTTTCGTAATTGAAAGCGAGTTTTAGTATCTGCTCCACATATTTTAAATGAATTATTGATTAGCAAGATTTTAGTGAAGTCTTGACAGGAAATTGATTATATAGAGCTTGTGAAAACTAAGTATGTTCAATTTAAAAATAATTTGTTATGTATCAAAATTTAATAAAACATTATTTATGTTAAAAAAGTAGATTACAAAAATATAAAATTTATAGTGTATTTTTGGTTGCCTATATGTTTCACTTATATTTCTACAAAAAATGTCCAAACTGATGTGAAAGCAAAATTTTGCTTCCAACATGCATGCTTAATAATATAATAACAAATGATAACATTTAAATTATTTAGTATTTGTGGTAATAAATAATTAAAATGCTTAACGATTAAACATTTAAAACACGTTCAGCACCAGTTCACTTACAAGCTTATGTTTATGTAGTATTTAATTAAATTCATTAAATTTATCCCAACTACTACAAGCACAAAAGTCAAAATGCAAATAATTCAAGAAATTAGGCATAGCTGTAGTACTTACTATGAAAGACTCGTCAGTTAAGTTAACAATCTTGAACAGTTTAACCCAAATTTTAAAAAAATGCGTAAAGTGTTACAATTTAGTAGTGACCTTTTGTCGGAATTAAAAAATGTTTTAAAACTATAATTTTTGTGCTACTCTTGATATTATTATTTTCCGTATTAGAACACGTTTTAATAGTTGAAACTTCAAATTTATTCTCACATATTAATTATTATGCTTCAATTTTTTTACTAATGACCGAAGGAGAAAACCAAATTTTTGCTAATCTAAAATCATTTTTTAATATTTTTTCACAGGATGATGAAAAAGTATGAAACCAACCGTTATTTGGTTAAATTGTTTATTTTTCGAGTCATTATGACAATTCTTTTGGCCAAAAACTATGATTTAGAAATTACAATAATCTATATAAAATGTTATTTTATCAATAAAATTCTTTTCATTTGTTAGTTAGGTTTCGAGCTCACAACAAAGACCTTCCTTTATCTTTTTGTGTAGTTGTGATTAAATTGTGTTTTTTTTTCTATTTGAAAAATTGATAAGAATGATTTATGTATATACATAATCACATACAGGTGCGCCAGAAATCGCGCCCCAGAGAAAAATTTCAAGTAAGATAAGTTACTAGGAACATGGAAAAAATGTTAAAAAAATTCTCAGTCAAAAAATTTTGAAATTTATTTTTTGACATTTGACATTTTTTACGTCTATTTAATTTTACTGATGATTTTGTATACGTTTTTTTACAATTATTTAGTAATGGTACAAAAATTTTGCCAATAAAAGCCACACATAACATTAAACAGAGTTACAATTTAGCATACAGCTTCCTTGTTTCCTCTTCTAATAGCCTGTAGCAAAAAAAAACTAAAAAATTATTTTTTCAACAAAAATAAATAGAGTCAAAGTGCAAAATTTAAACTCTCATAACTTCGAAATTTTTATAGATAGAATTTTTTTAACATTTTTTCCAATCTTCCATGTTCCTAGTATCTTACCTTACATTTTTCTGTAATTCTGTAAGGGTGAATGATTTTTAAACGAATGAGCCTCAAGAGCTGCAAATTAACTTTTATGCTTTTCGAAAAAGTTGATTTTCTGTCGATTTTTTCTTGCGTTTAATTAGTCTGGGATAAAAATGTGATATAGCTCGTCGTTTGTGCAAAAAAACTTGGAAAATTATTTTTCCAACAGAAATAAATAGAGTCAAAGTGCAAAATTTAAACTCATAACTTCGAAATTTTTATAGGTAATTTTTTTAACATTTTTTCCATGTTCCTGGTACCTTACCTTATATGGCATTTTTCTCTGGGGCGCGAGTTCTGAGGCAGCCTGTATACAGTAAATTAATAAATAATACAAATGCAATAATCTTAAGTTACGCCACTGGGCATAAATCAGGAAACTACATCGCAAAGCCAGTGGGTGTGTATCATGGTTTTCAATCTCCCACAGGACTCTTGCGAGTCTCCCGACGTCAAGTTCAGTTAATTGCTTCTGTTTGTCCTGGGAGAGGAATGAACTTGTTAGGACAAAAATAATCGCGTTTTGCTAGCACATTAATGTGAAAATATGTGTAGGTAATGATCGTAACAAACCTGAAAAGGGAAGTTTTCAAGCGTCTATTCTTGGCACATTCCTTGGGAATTCCCGAAAAGGAAAGTGTCGGTCGCAGTCGTGTTTATTGATATTGATTGGACGTGTAATGCAGTCGTGCTGTATGAAATTATATACCGAGTAAACAGTTGATACTCACGTAAGGCGGGTCGCAATAAATCGCTTTACACCACATGGGCTCCGAGTGATAACAAACGCACATCGTGCACACGGCAGGGCCAGGGACATAAAGCAAGCCATGGGCTATAGTCTGACCTTGAAAATCGGTGCAGTCCTCTTCTATTGCCCCTGAAAAGAGAAAATCAATTTTTGATAAAAAGGCGAAAATTTTGTTTGAGTTGATATAATTAGATTAATTTACGTGATAGATGCTTCAAAGGGACGCAAGTCCTTTGTGAATTCAGTTAGCACCGCTTTCGTCAAAAATTTATCGATTTGTCACCGGATGATTTATTATCACCTGGAGCGTTTTTTAATAGAATAAAGTGGCTTTCCAACTTATCAAATGCCGTTTTGGCACGGAGTTTCTTCTACGATAAAATAGAAGTATTACCTGCTTTAATAACAAGAGGATTAGACGGTTTACTTGCAGATATTTGGCCGATATCTGGAAAATAAAAATTTACTTCAATCCGGGAAAAAATTTCATTTTGATGCTCTGTGCTGTTATGTGTTCGTGTCATTGTGATAATTCAATCCGTTGACAAGTGCACCGCATTCATTAAAATCGCGTTTTCATCAATAAAAATCAATAACTCAAGCTGACTAGAAATTAGACAAAAACACATTTTTATATTCATATATCACGGAAAATTTTCTGATAAATAAGATAATACGAGCTTTTTCCACATAAAAGTTACACTAAAATGATCGTAAACCTTGAATGAAATATTTTTATGGATTATTTTATATTCATGCTGAGAACTGTACTCATTCTACAATTGTAAAATATGAAAAACGATGTTTCTTCTGCAACCCTCTTGCAATAATAAATTATCTACTTGAATTTCTACTATGCGACATAAAACAATGAGAAGCTCCCTTCGCGTATCTCCTCTAGTGCTCTTATCAAGCAACAAGCTCCGACTTGTTAATATTCCAAAATAGAACAAGAATATTTTATCAAGTTTTAACACTCTTAAGCACATTTTTAACTACTTTTCTTCATATCGTCTGACACAATTTTTCGAGAGCAAATTATCAAGCAGAACTGGTGCATCCATCATTTTCTAAAAAAAACACCAAAATTTCTCTTGGTGTTTGACTTGTTTACAATGAAAAACATAGAATAACATACCAGTTATTTGTGTCTATTTTTTTTTGTAAATCTCTATTTGAGTTTATTGATTTATTGTTAATTTTAATCAAATCGAATTGTTTATTTTGGTAAATCACTAAATGCTTTTATCCAGGCTTGCCAATAGTTTGTAAATAAGTATTTCTAAATTCAAAGCTTTTGCATAATAAATCCATTGATGACAATGTGACAAGTGGCCTAAAATGTTTTTTCACATGTTCTCAACTATTTTTGAAGTTGGTGAATAATTAATCACGTCTATTAGATTAACCCACCGTTTCACATGCTTACACTTAGGTGAAGATTAAAGGTTTTTGGGGGTTCATATACGCAATGACCATAATTTACGTGCCGTTGTTATTTGACAAGTGATTAATATTTCGTGGTCTCATTGTAGATTTAATTGTAAAATATGGCTGACAGAAAGCGACATTTAAGCTGTTGTGTTAGCGCGTGAGCGATGACTGTTTAATGAAAAAGTGCCAAGTTTCATACTGACAATACAGAAACAATAAAATATGAATTGTGAAAAATTGTTTTTAGTGTTTTCGTAAAAAAACAACAAACTCATATTTGCCTTTTTCATTCAAAATTGTGTCATTGCTGGATTCTGGAATGTCAGTTGGTTGTTGTAAAGAGAGGGATTCATCTACAATAATAATTAGCGTAAATAATCATACAAAATGACAAGCATTTTTACTGAAAGAGTTTTGTTGTGTAAATATATGAATAAAGTAATTCTAATTACTTAACATTTACATTACATTCAATGTAATGGTTAAAAAAACAACAAATTCTGTCCGTGAGATAAAGCTGTTATTTCATTAGCAATTGGAAATGTGTGCAAAACGCTTTTCTTTGCGGCTTGTTCGCCTATTTGCTTAAGCCAAGGATTTCCATGTAACTGATTTCTCTCCGTTTATTTTTCGTCCACGGATCAAGTAACCTTTTAGAAAGGATAAATAACGAAATAATCGCGTAAAAATGTGTTATTGTACTCCCTAAATCGGTGCATTTCGCTTGCATAATGAGCGATGGTCAAATAATTAAAACCTACAAAGTTACCATTTAAAAAAATGTCAGTGACGACACGTGTCATAAATAACAGGCTCCAATTAAGGCAAAATGTGGTAATTTTTAATATTAAAGCACACGATTTTTTAATATCAAACATAAATTAAGAGGGGCCGGTAGTTCACTATACTATATGGGCTTGATCGGTACAAAAGTTGCAATTTTAAGTATTTTACCGTTTTTAAGGTATATTTAAAAAAAGCTAAAATGTCAAAGCATTTCGAAAGCTTTACTTTATTTCTAAGTTTTTTTTTATCTAGAATACTTATACATGTTTGCAAGTGTCCACTGTACAAGTTTTGTACGTCATAAATTGTCTATAACATTTTTCATTTATATTTATTTAAATAAAAAAGCTATTAAAAACCATAGTAAAGAAATATATGGTAAATCGTATAAATGAAACAATAATCTTACTCTGTCAGAT